ACTTATCTGTCAAATTAGGTGAAATGTCATCATATTCAACTCACTATTCCCCACACTCATCTTAAATTCCTCAAATAAACCAATCAGAAACCAACAATAACTTATATTATCATGAAAACACGGTCTTTCAATTATGATTGGTCTATCAGCGTTGGTGTTTTCAATGATATGACAATGAATAACGAATACAAGTCTATCAGATTGATATAAAAATAATTATAGCTGTAGATGTCCTATACTTCGTGAAATAGTCAAGCAAAATACCACTTTGTTCTGAATAACTTCTCATAATTCTGTCTCTCATTGTAAACTCAAGTGTGTTGCCACTTGTCCTAACGAACCCGTGGTGTTGCTCGGCAGCACAATTTTTTGAACAACATATAGCGACCTATAATCATCTCGAATATTAAGAACATCGTAATATTACTGTTGAAAATCCCACACCTATCATTTTCTACCAATTAAAAGTCTGTATTTTAGATAGCTCCTAAACAAATGTCTAGAAATATTTTACTCTTCCTATTCTGGGTAAGGATCATGAAATTACACTAAAAAATTTTTCGACGTTTGTGGGTAAAATGCATTACCACCGCACCAACTGACTTATATTAATATGTTGTGTAACTCAAGTCGGTTTTTGTGTTTTAGTTAGCGTATACTCTCTCATTGTATCCTGGTATTTTAAAAAAATCGTGGTGTCGAAAAAATTCTCGTTAATAACTGAAGCTCTTTAGTGGTATTTTAAGTCACAATTTAATTCATGTATAAAAATTTCTATTACCCACTTTGATTTTGTCATTATGACATCGAAAAAAGTTTGTTCTAAAATGCCCTCCCTTTTCCAGCGATAAATTGACTCTCCACAAGAAACGCCATGTGACGATGATGTTTGTCAAAAAAGGTTCATCCTGTTTTATCGCTGATAAACTCCGTGTTCCTCAAAAAAATACTTCCTCTAGTATGCGACCGTCCCAATTTCTGTTTCTGTCGTGTCAAGTATGATTATCGATGAGTATTGTTCACATATTCGCTATAGGAAGAGAAATTTATCCGATAAAAATAAGCTCTTGTCATCAAGACACAACGAAAATAAGATTAATTTTGCGCACCCACTAAATCACGTTGCGACGATGCGTACGGATTATGCGAGGACACTGTATGAAATTGTTTGGCCGGCTCAGCCCAGTGCCATTATTAACGAGGTCATTCATATCGACAATTTCAATTTTAAGTGCCGAGGAAGAGTGACCAAAGTTATTTATGTTTCCAAATCGCGTTAACGATTTCGGGGAAATCAACCCTAAGATTATAGTTTATTCAGTTTATGCGAAGTCAGTTGGAAAAACACAACATCGCGAACCGTCGGTTCCTTTAAAAGTTCAAAGAGAGCGGCAGCACGGCCCGACATTCCTTTAATGATCTGTTCAACTGACTTCGCATAAACTATACAAAAAGATGTTTCAAGTAGTATTGTACGATGGTATTGTTATATCTTTCTACGGCACAAGACTGTCTCCTCATATACAGGGTGGTCCGGTTTGTGATACAAAAAATTCAACAGTTTGTTGTACTCGTCGAAAAAATAAAAAAAAAGTTCATATAAACATATACTTTTGAACGCGTCCTTTTCGAGATAAAGGTTGTTGAAAATACGAGTCTGAATATATTCCTTTCATATAAAAAGGTTTGAGATAAATCAGCAAAACTTAACGCCCAAGGCGAATTTCAAAATAAGTTATTAATAAAAGTTTTTCCCATATGATGCCGACTTTATGAATGACACTGTATATTTTGATAATAAACTCAAAGCATCTCCAGAATATTCAGATAATTTTCAGAGAATGTGAAATTCAGTCAGAACATTCAAATGTTCCATAATGTGCTTGTATAAATATTCTATGAATAATAAAGTTTATAGTCCTTGGTTACCTACCTACACCCTACAATTTCTTGGAATTTTCGAACCATAAAACATAATCCGTTTACCTGTGTTGCCAGCTGACTTGAGCAAAATTCATATTTCATTAAGATGACGATTCTACGTCATTCTATATTGCTTCATTTATTTATTTTTAATTGCCGTCACGGAGAAAATCATGAGTTGGCAACCCTAGTCGTTATAAACTCTCTTCATAACCTTCAACCACCTCAACCCTGTTCGTGAAGACAAAAACATTTAGTGGTGATTCAATTGTGATTCAGTTCTGTTGTTGGAATACGGAGGTAACTTATTTTTTTAGTACCCACCTACTCTACTTGCGAATATAAACAGAATTCCTCAATATTTTATTAGGATACCTATGATGCGTTCATATAATTTTTCCGCCTAACTTTTTTTGTTTTTGATGGAGTTTCCATTTTTTTAGACATTTTGTTGGTTTTAGATTTTCAGAGAATTTATTTTATAGAATATTATTATATAATATATAGGTAGTTATTTAGGTTCAATCAACAAATGTTTGTTGATTCTTTTTTGAAGGTAGGTTCAGTTTCAATTTCAGTTAATGATAAGTTAAAATCAAAGATTTCTTGTTGATTTATTTGTTTAAGTTTTTCAGAGATTTTATTTTTTGTTTTTATAAGTTTATTTGTAGGTGAAATCAAGGATTTCTTAATATATTTCTAAGTATCTAGACACATAATTTGTTCTTGAAGGAGTAGGTATAGGTAGATAATATTAATAGTCGGTATATACTTAATTGTGGTAGATATTCATTCAAAATGGAGAAAAATAATCATTCATGTATAGAGGTTTTGCTTCAAGCTATTATGAGTATCGAACCTCAGTGTTCTTATAGATATTTGATCGATAAAAAACCTGAAGATCCATTGTTTCAACTCGTGTGCTCAAAATTCAGAATAGATAATTAGAAATATCCCAGTCGGGTTTATTGGTTCATTCAAAGAAACAAAAAAAAAGTTGAAGATTTTTTTCACAACCAAATAATAAATTTTCGGAAGCTGATCGTGATTTCAAGATACTGCCAGCAATTGAAATGGAAAGTCTCAGCAATGATAGGTTGAAGTAGTGGTGGTCTCAAACAAATATTATGCCCTATAAAAAGGTATGTAAAGAGTTAGGAGTTTCTCGTAGAAATATTCTCAATCGGAAGCAAATTTATTATTACTATCACAAGAAGTTTTTGAAAAACAACATCAACATCAACGATTTACATGCTGATAATCATGTGAAAAATTTAATAGAAGTCATAAACTCAACTTCAAAAGCAGAAAAGTTAATGATTACTTGTTTCATGACAGCTCTTACTTTATAAATAATGCTCATTCCTCAGGATGTTCTGATATTGAATTGAAAATATCAAATGATTCGTTAATCGCTTCAACAAATGAACAGGATATTATACAGAATACAAATAATGACGAACTAATAAGCTGCTTAAGTAAAGACCTAGTATCTGATATTTCCGAAATTCAGTCGAAACTTCCTGAGTACATGGCAGACAATGTTAGAGACTTGACCCCGGTTAGTTCCAATACTTTCCAAAATATTGAAATTAATAAGGACTCAACTACGGAAAGTTTCGAAATTCCAAAAGTAATCGAGAATCTGTCGACAGATATGGACTCTAGTATAATTCTGCCATTAAATTCTAATAATGTTGATAATCTTCCACGGGCGATCAGTTATAAAGAATGCAAATTTTTTGAAGGTGGAAGAAAATGTATACCGGGTGATAATAAAACAAGACAAATTAGTCAGAAAATATTATCCATATTATTTGAAAAATCGGATTCAAAAATATAATAATAACGTAGTAGTAGTAGTAACGAAGTATCAGAAAAATGGAACGATCAAAATATACGCAAAGTGCAAAAATAATAACTACGGTTGTAAAAAATTTGTAAAAGTGATAAACCATTGCCTAGTAGAAGTATTCTCTTCATCATTGGATTACTGCCATCCACAATCTATAACTTCTTGTGTCAGTGGAGTAGAACGCACTATTGCGAAGAAAAATCTTTTACGCATTGAACCATTTTCATAAAAAAGTAAAACCATTCTGAAAGCTGAAGAAAACATCGTTCGACATGGGAACTTGCAGGCAATCAAGTCCGATTCTACTGTCAGAAAAATGAGATCGGAATCGTTAGCTCAATGGGATCGAGATCGAGATGATATAATCAACCTTATGAAAATGCAAAGGGAACACAATGATTATATCAAAGAAGTATGTGTACCATTCAACGTAAAAATTTATAGTAACAATTCGATGTTTTGGATAAAAGTGGTCACATGAACATACTTCCTATTTTATATTTTGACGCGACTGGAGGAATTGTGAGAAAACCTGTTGGTAACATGAAAAGAGTTTTTTTTGTATTCAGCCGTACTGCCGATATTGACAGAGGAAAATGGAAAATGGCCAGTTTCGGTAGTATTGTGACTGATTTCAGTTACGCCAATCTACATGCAATTAGTAAGGCTTGCAATCGTCAAACTCTTTCTGAGTACATTGAGCTAACGTTCAGGATTTCGAGTGGTACAGAGCCTGCGCCAAAATGGTTAGTGAACATTTATTTGTGTTGTGCTCATATAGTGAAAATGTTCAGTGAAGATATTGACGATAATTTTAGTAATGAAAACAATTTCATAATTTTATAAAGATGCAATGGCACAGGCAATACTCATACACTCATTGAAAGATCTTGGAGAATGGTTCTGGCATATTACAGTTTTGTTGATTAACAAATATAATAGCGACGATATTGTACAAGTCAAAGAATATTTTGCGAAATTGAGCTCATTGGATAAAGAGTTCAAAATAGATGCGGATCACAACCAGACTGTTGGAAGTAGATGAGTATATTGAAACCGAAGGTTTGCACAGAGAAAGTCCATTTTATAAACATTTTTCTGAATTGAGAAAAAGGTCCTTGAATTTCCAGACAATGTTGGAATAAATCAATATAACAACAAAAAGTATGCTGATATTATTTTACTCAAATATATGCCCATTTGTTCCCTATGGTCAGGCATTATGATGGAAGAAAATCAAAAACCAGTGAGTAATTGTTATGCAGAAAATTACTTTGGTAATTTAAAGACACATATATTGGGTGGTCAAAAAAATTTGAAGTGTTCTCGATATCTCAGAAAGAGCAGAGAATATGTCAAAGCTTTATTTAAAGAATACAATTTGAATATACCAAAGAGGAAACTCACCAAGCAAAGAAAAAGAGAATACCCTGACGATGAATTTTCATCTCAAGAAACATGGAACAAAAAAACGAAAACCACTGACACACATTTCACCGGGAAGTATTTGAAGATGATTGCACCATTATCAAATGTAGAAAACAAAAATCAATTATCACATGCAGAGAACAAAAATTCACAACAGGATATTGTCATTGTACATGATGATATGGACGAAACAGTTCTAGAAAAATGTATGTATTGTGGATTTGGCAGACTGAATGTAACTGCGGAATGGGTGAAATGTGACGGATGTGGTGGTTGGGTGCACAAAAATTGCGATCAATCATTACAAGATTATGGTGAAACTTATTTTTGCGAAGCTTGTGTTACAAACAAAATATACACTTTGGACTCAAAACCGGATTTGCGAGAGAAATGTGAAAATGCCATAAAACAGCTCCATGAAGATAACGACCATAGAGATGACATCGAGCAGGAAACAAGGAGCCAAAGACAATTACCCCAGTGGTTTTTGGAACGAAGAAAGAGAGTGATTGCTTTCAATTTCAGGATAATAATGGAGGCAAGATCAAGTGATAGGAAAATAATTATGGCTAAGACCATTATATCACAAAAAAGAATTTGCACCGATGCAATAAAACATGGAATCGATAATGAAGAAAGGGCAATCCAGAAATATCTAATGGAGAATAAACATATTTACACGAAATGTGGTCTCGTAGTCCACAACCAATATCCATACTTAGCAGGATCTCCGGATGGACTCTTAGATAGGGATGGCATAATTGAAGTCAAATGCCCTCATAAAATAAGGAACGAAATTCCAACTTATTCCAACATGGATTATTTCGATGAAGATATACTTATGAGATATACTCATGATGTTCATTATCAAGTTCAAGGACTACTAGAGATAGTGAATAGACCATGGTGTATATTGGTAATCTACACATACCAGGGTCTGTTCATTCATAAGATTGAGAGGAATCGTGAGATATTCAAATCGATGTTGAATAGGTTGAATGAATTTTATTATTATTATTACCTTCCCACTCTCATTGAGTACGATGTGAAAAATGAGATAGAAAGAAAATGGAGACCCTTTTACATGAAATTACATTTTTAGAAAACGGATTGGTCGATGATATTTTTTATTATCGCAAAAAAATAGGTGATAGGGATTATACTGTTGCTATTTTCGAGCGCTTGAACTATTATTTGAATGATTTGAAAGCATCTGATTATGAATCTTTATCTTCTTCGGATAGGGATGGCTGGTTAACTAATTTTGTTGTCGACATTATTATGTTATTATTCAATCATGGCGATCGATATCAAATCATTCCCGAACAATTGGGGTCAGCAATATTTAGTGATGAGGCTCATATCAAATCTGACTACTTCCTAGAGAAAATGAAGTTCCATAAAGACTACATTGCAATGCCCATTTTGATCACCAATATGTCTGATTATCATTGATTTTCAAAATAAAACCTTCAGTTATTTATCAAAAATTGATATAAATTTGAATATATTCAGGAAATTCATGAAAACTCATAATTCATTTCATTATACATTATACATTCATTATAATACAATATTTCCTGTTATACTTGAGAGCAGCCCAGGAAGAGGTATGGTACAAACTGATAGGTTAGGTGTCTATACCTGAACTGCGGCACAACAACCTTCAATCACCAGTTGTTGGTTCAAATGCTAAAACTTGTAATGACCAAATCCATAGAAGATATACCTATTCTGTGCCAGAATGGCGAATTCGGGTATTGAGAATGTTCCAAAGTGGTCGGTCTATCAGTCACGCATCGCCAACGACATTACAAAACATTTGTATTAGGGTACTTACTCCATGAGGGAGAGAAGTTAGCTCATACTCAGTATTCATAGGGAAATTGCATATTTATTAAAATTTTTTTTTCATTGCGCGCATATATCGAACTGTTTAAGAATATGAAAACTTTTATTCATAAAATCAGCGAAAAGCTTAATTCTTCTTATGTTTGGTATTAGAGAAAACTTACGCAGATTCAGCGTTAGTAAGAGGATATTACAAATCATCACTGTATATGAAAACGTTTCCAGTTTTTAATGATTGAATCCTGAAACAAAGTAGTAAATCCCATCCAAGATACATATGTATGAAAGATAATTTTTGTTAAGAGGCATGACGATTAGACTATTTTCAATAGAGTGTTCGGAGTCTATGAAATGAATATAAAAAGACTGTAAAATCATGAAAACCAAACTTCTCCATTGATCCCTCTATCATCTATTTTATATATTGAAACCCCCTATCCCTATCCTCATCCCACGACAAGAGAAACCCCTACACCTCCTCGTGGTTCTTGTCGGGCAACGTTAATTTTTATCGAAAGCTAATTTCATTGAAAGTTAACGGCTAAGTAGGGGGTTACTAATTTGGTAAACTAGGTGAAGCATCAACCCTTTGGAGTGGTTGAATTTTTGGATTATATTCTTATCGTATTGATCTCCTTTATATACTTTATATTTTTTGGAATTGGTCAATTATCAAAGGAGAGGAAGTGTTCATAATGTAACGCCTTTATTTACTAAGTTATCAAAAAAACAGAGATACTTCGAAAAAAATCATCAAAAATTACAGATTATATTTTTTATGAATTCTCCTACGGCACTGCAAATTCATTGAGTCTCTAAATACGTATATAGTTATTCTAGAAATTTTGACAAGAAATTCATGAACGCACATCCATTATTAACGCAGTTATTCAGAAAAAATCATCAAAAGTGACAGATTATATTTTCTATAAATTCTTCTACGGCACTGCAAATTCATTTCAGTTTCTAAATACGTATATAGAGTAATTCTAGAGATTTAAGCGAAACATTCATGAACGTACATCAATTATTAACAGAGATATTCCGAAAAAATCATCAAATATGACAGATTATATTTTCTATAAATTCTCCTACGGCACTGCAAATTCATTTCAGTTTGGAAATACATATATTGAGTTATTCTAGAGATTTAATTGGAAAATTCATGAACGCACATCCATTATTAACGAAGTTATTCCGAAAAGAGTAATTCTTGAAATTATAGTGAAATAGTTATGAGTGCACAGCAATTAGTAATCGTTATTTGAAAATTACTGATGAAGACTAAAGACCTATAACTGAGGTGATCGATGTTTCCCTTAGAATGGTTGTAACAATTCGTAGATTATCAGGGAAACGATTTACATGGAAAATACTGCTGAAACATACATTTAAATGAGCATGGTTAGGAAAAGCGTGGCTGGAAAGTTTGGCAACCTTGCACGCGAAATTTCCTCTATCCTAATCTCGACAGTCCACAAGTCATAAGGCGTGGCTAGAAAATCGTGGATAATTTCACATCAACGGATTCTCCTTATTCATCCAAAACGTCTTTCTCTGTATTTGATAGTTCAGAATATTCTGCAATGTCACACCTATCGGAATTCAGCAAGTGCTTCCGAAGATTGCTGGTGTTTCCACCTGAATTGTACTCTCTCTTGCAGAGAGTGCATGTTGCATAATTGGATGTGGTTTCGTTATCGAAATAGTTCCATACATCGGACTTATTATTTTTTCTTTCATACATTTTTCCTCAGACGAATATTTTGTCGTTTTAACGAAAAAACGATGAAAAAATTCATCACAGACACGTGACAAGAATGATAAATAATGTGTCATATGGCAATGTCAATACCGTTAATAGTGTCAATGGTGAGATTCGTCAACTGTCAATGTCATCTGTCAATGAGTATCGATAGCAATATTATTAGTATCGATACTTTGATACTCCGCATAGTATCGATATATCGATACTCAGTATCGATACTTTCCGACCTCTACACTGATGCCATATTGATTGTCTATGATTGTGCAATTACAGTTGTCTTCCTCAGAGATGTCGTTCCTTGCCCTGATCTAGAATCCAGTTATGAAACCTCAGATATTAACATCCACAGTTTGGAATAGAACAGATTTGAAAACGTGCCTGATAGAAGAGGTATTTTTTTGCGAGATCCCGTTGATTTGCCGGGAACTGATATTCAGTTCCCGTTGCATTTTCGCGTCATAACGGTAATAGGGGAGTATGATAATGACGTCATCAGTCACGTCACAATTTATAAAACAGGAACTGTTTTCGTTCTAGCATCTGTGAACATGGTTACTGGCAGTTATAGTAATTGACAAGTGACATTGTATCGTTATTTTTAAAGTAATATTTAATTATTAGAAGTAAACATATTTATAATTATTCAAACTATTTTTGGGATACCTACTCACTTTTTGAATCAAGAAATGCAAGAGCACCAACAAGAACACCAATAGATAGAGGGGATCATCATGAGCGATATGCCACAAAAATATTAATACATTTTTTTTTCAGGAGCAAATGGAAAATTTCAACCCCTATACTTTTTTTTAACAAACAGTGTTGGTCATTCTGCAACATAACAGTCAATAACGTTGAAAAAGTTGTTCTTTCCATTCGAAATAGCTGAAAAAATACCACTTCAATAAATTTATTTATCCAGTCCATATGATTCACTCTAGGATGAGAATAACTTCCTAAAAATCGTGGCTCTATAAAATTGTACTTTGAAACGTTGAATGGAATGAGACAAGTACAAGTATTGTTGGGAACATTTTGAGATGCTATTTGTTGAGCCACCGGAGCGGCCGGAGCCAACGATCATGTAACCAAAATGCAACTGTCCATCTATTATGATCATATATTATGATCGAAAACAAAAACCCTAGCTGACAGAAATCTGAACGGTTAGCCGGTTCATTTTCGTGAGAAATCAAAGGATGAACGGCCTTCGGTTTATTTTTTGGTGGGGGTATAACCGCTCTATTACCGGTGGCTGATCAACGGGAACTCGCGAAAGAATACATAAGGAACTCAGTTGATCCCATTCTGGAACCTTTTCACATACCTCCATAGTCGAAGATGGTTTATTAACCTACATCAAGTAGTCGGAGAAGAATGTAGAAAAATGCATTAATTCGAAGAATATCGAGGATTTTCAGGACAAATGATTGAGTTGAGTGCAACAGCTCCCATAGCACTTCAACTACACTCGCCGGTTCAGTTGACAATGGCGGGTCATGCAAAGGGGTGACCTACAGTTTCCATGGAAGAGGATGGCATAATGTCATCGTAACTGCTAGTGTTGAAATCACCATAAGAGATCACCTCACTATTGCAAAACTGGAAAATGATGGGATCATTTAACATAACGATATAACTTGTCCATATATTAAGGGTTATTGTATGGATTTTAATATTGGTGAAACCATATGGGAACCAATTCGCAAGGATGAATGTGCCCTTCACAAAATATTGTACCAAGGAAAAGGTACATTAGTCAAGGAAAACTGCGGAGAATCATATTGTAATCAATATCTAGTACTCAGTTGGAGATCGAACCAAAATATTTGCCCTGCAACTGATCAAACAAGAAAAAATGTGTAATCGCAAATTATGGAATACCGAGCACCCCCGATCATTAGTCGAAGAATACGATAAAGAAAACCCGTATACCCTATGGATGAAGCATGATGATAATGACGCCGAACTCATCACCTATGTCAACACCAAATTCATGTAAGTAGAACAATCATTCAAACGTATTCCGAATTCAGTTGACACTCTGATGAAAAATCAGCCGAATTCAGTTGCCACTCTAATGAAAAACCAGCTTGGATATATTGCAAAAATAAGTGGAGAAGTAATGTATATTATGAAATGTCTGCCATTTACTGTTGAATTTCGTCGGGAGACCTCTTGTTATGTTGAGTTACCTGTAACGGCTTACAATACTTCTCATTTCCTATCTCCATTGACTAGAATTCTTCAGAAACATTCTCAAGCAATAGAGTGTAAATCGCTTGTCCCGCCTATGTTCTACTTGAAAAACAAGTGAATTACATCAGATTGAATTACGGACTAGAGATCAAAGAGTCTTCGATTTGGAACGACGCATACGTGTGACTGCTTCAAATTTTGGGAGTATTTTAAAAAGTACAAAAAAATGATAGTATGATCGCGATGTTGAAGCGCAAGACAATGGAAAGAATCTCTTGTAACCCCCATTTATAAATCAGCCGAGCATAATGTCCTGAGCAATTATCGACCGATTTCTGTGATTAATAATTTCGCTAAAATTTTTGAACAAAGCATTAAAAGTAGACTAACTGCATTCTTCGATAAACACAATGTGATAACAGATAGACAATTCGGTTTCAGAAGTAATTCAAATACAGAAAAAGCAATATTGGATTTTATTGAAAAAACTGTATGCTTTGGACAAGTCAGAAAGATGCTTAGCTATCTTCCTAGACCTTGCCAAGGCATTTGACACGGTGTCCCATGATATTTTACTGAAGAAACTCGAAAATTACGGTGTCAGAGGTAACGCACACAATTTGATGCGAGATTATTTATCACAGAGGTCGCAAGTGGTCAAGAT